AAAATCCCTGGTTGGGTATGTACTGATGTGTTTTATGTCATAGAACACAATGTGAAAATGTCTTCAGCATAACCACAGACCTTATTCCATCCAGGCATTTAATCAAAAACATTCAAAAAACCCATTGACTTTGAGGGAAAAATGCTAACTCATTTCTGGGTTTTAGGACTCATTCGCTCTATGGTGCATGTTGTTGTTTTTACATCAAACACATCTCAATCAACAATTCTCCCGCTCACATATGCACGAATATATTGTTGAGGACAGTAAAAGGCATGCTGACTGAAGGAGTGAAGCGCTACATAACTTTGTGGAAGTGTCTTTTTGTGTTCAGTATATATATACTCGAGATTTAAGCGTGGGCAGGAAGAGGCACAGGGTGCATTTAGGTGCCAACTACCAGTCTGTTTTGTATCTACTGCACAGAATGTAAGCAAAGCATTACAAATATAACAGGTCACCTCTAAAACTCATCAGCCCCTTTGGGAGTAAATACATCACTACCTCAGCATCATTATTTAATGTTTGTGCGCCATTATTTTACCATTTAGTATAAGAACTTATACTAGTATAATAGTGCAACACTATTCTTCTTTCCTTTGAAAAGTATCCTAAAAAAGTAATATTTTGGATCAAGGGGTCATCTCTCTGCAGTTGACTCTCTTATGAAGGTATAAAATGCCAAATAAAATACATTAGAAAAGGTAAATATATTATTTTTGAACACTATCTACCAAACTGTGTCTTCTACCTCCCTTTGTATGTATTAACATACCTTGATGTAACCGCCAGTCGAGACCAGAAGGGAGTTGTCTGGAGAGAAGTGCAGGTCGGACACCCAGCCTCCGTGGAGTGAGTCCATGCCGTCTTTGCTCTCCCGGGAACAAATCTTCAGCAAAGAGCCGTCCTTCACATTCCATATCTGTGATGGACAGCCAAACATTATAAAACCAACCATAAAATAAATGTCACTGATAAACAAACAAAGATGCCGGACTTACTTACAGATTAAAAAACTGCACTCCAAGCATGATTTTTGGATCTGCCTCATTATGTGGCCTATATCAGCCAATGGAGATTGCTCAGTTGCCATGGAGATGGTGTAGTTGTTTATCATGTGACCTAAGTATTGAATGTGGTAACAGGTGGTTGAATACGAGGGGAGATCGTTACCTTTGTCTCTGTTCCAGGATGTTCTGGCATCAGATGTGACCAAAACTCCACACTTAGGTCACATGATAAATACCGAAACCATCTCCATGACAACTGAGCAAACACCACCACCTGAAGGTCATTAGATGTGGCTGAAAGCAAGTTGACCTTGTGATTTTCTTGTTTAGTTTTCTGTCAAACATTTTATTTCTAAAGTCAAGCTGCACCTTCAAGCTCAATAAAAAAAAAAGCTAAACAAAGAGAAGTTGCACAGATACACAGATTCTGTGAATCCTGAGAAATTACCCATAATACACCACAAATATGATGAAAAGCTGCTTTGTGATTCTATCATCGCAAGTTCACCACATCATGTCGATTGCAGCTGTTATGCAACTGTTCACATGTCCATTTGACAATGACACATCACACGTACGGCTATATTTAACACTTGGCATGCTTTTGTGTGGAATGACTCACATTTGTTTCCATAGAAACAGGGGTGAGATTTCAGTGTGGTTTATGTAATTGGATCTGATGGATTCGTCCATTTCTGGATAATGGAGCAGCGCAGCTCAGAGGCCACCAGAGGGCATTAACCCAATGTTGGCCGATGCTGTGCTGACATCCGTTGCTGCAGGCTGCTCAGCGCTGGATGCCTTTCTCCTCTACCTCTCACACAGTCTAACTTTTAATTTACTTTGTGTGTGTGTGTGTGTGTGTTTTTGTGTACGAGCGCTGCAGATTCCAAAGCCTAGGGGATCCAATTTGGCAGCCTAAGTCGTCTCCTTCACCTCCCACTGTCAGACATCTCCTCCTCTTCCTGCTCTCTTCATCCCAACTTCTCGCACAACCTGCATGCACCCTTCCTCCAGCGCCCGCTCCCTCATCTGAGATGGAGCCCTGCCTCCCTTCCTTTCATCTCACCCCTCCCATGTGCACTGCAGCAATCATGATGTATTAGTAAGCACTTTATCTAAATGAGTGATGGGATGTAATTATGGGGTGATCTCTGGGATAAATGTTGACTGGTGTAATTGCATTTTTGTATGATGCACAGCAAATCAGATGGTTTAAGGCATTGTCATTACTTCTCATACTAGTAACATAATGTAACTTGGTGTATGGTGGGAGTTTCTTCAGGCAGGATGCTTAATTGGAAGTCTTTTCCTCACCTCTCATCTGCAGCCTCTATACTTTACCTAAATCCACTCCACTCTTCAACTACCGAATTTCCCTCATAACTCCCCATAAAAAAATGTTCCACTTCCTCCACTTTGCCTTTTTGCATTTAGGCACTTTGCTCAGGTTGATTTGCCGAATGAGCCTGAATTCCTAGATCAGAAGCTGATAGTAAGAAATGCAACGGTTAGTAAAACGCTGAATGTTTTGAACACGCACCCGGATCTCTCCATTGTCGTCTCCGGTTGCGAGGCGTCGGCTGTCCCAGGAGAATCTGCAGCTTCGGACACAGTCTTGGTGGCCGCTCAATGTGTGGACACACTGCCAGGACTCACAGTGCCACAGCTAGGAGCAGAAAGTAATGCATAAAAAGCAGAAATTGGCACATCAATCGTGTATGAAATGTTTTAAAATGACAACCAAAAACATAAATGAACACATTCTGACTTGGTTATTGCAATACATTTACTTTATTTGCACTGCTATACAACCACAGCGAGTGACTAACCCTTATTTAATAAAGAAGAGTGTTTCTGTAGCACAAGTGAGATACACTGTAATAATAATGAAGTTTTATTTCTGTTGCTCAAACCAGTCAAACCATCACCTGTTAATAGGTTTTATGAGGACAAATCACCATGCCAAATGCAGAGCTAATGTTATAGCACTGCATCAGTAATGAGTTCTTTCTCACTCTCTGCTGTTTTCTTTCTCTCACTTTGTTTGGATTTCCCTTCTTCAACCTCCTGTCTCTCATCCATTGTTCTCTTTATATCCCTCCCTTCTCCGTCTTCCCTTTTTCCTCTTCCTCCCCCTGTGTTCCTTCCCTACCCTGGTCACATCCTGCGCTGCACACAAAATAACACAGCTCATAATTAGACACTTCATTTGGCAACCGAATAACTATGTCTGCACACAAAGTCCCATTCATCTGAAGGTCAGTAGAAGTAGTAAGAGAAAGAGGAAAAAGGGAGGACAGAAAGAGAGAGAATCCTCCTTTTTGATGGTTCTCATGGCCGAGCCTTTTGCTTTGACCTCTAGATAGATACAGACTGGGGACTTTGTGTGTGTTTTGAGCTACCAAAGCCCCTACTCGGTCTGGAGAGCAAGGGCTATGTGACTGGCAGCTAACCAGCCCCACAACACACACACACCTCAATTATCATCTTTGCCAAATCCATAAAACACACATTCTCTCTCACTACCATCCATTGACAGAAGCCAGGTTGGCTGCAGACCCAGTTCTCTACAGTAAGTGTCGACCAAATCCCAATTCCCGTGTGAAACTTGGTGGCAGTGGCTCTAGATCAACTGCCTTAACAAATGCCTGAGAGAGCGGCTTTGCATTGTTTCTAATGCTGGGCACTCAGGAACACCAGTTGTCATTTGTGGTTGACTATTGGACAGAGAACTATAAATCTAACACAGAATCCGCAGCTGTTTCCATGATCCAAGTAAATGAATGACACTGAGAGGTAGCCACGGTGAAAGAGCGTACAGCCTCAGTACAGTTCAACATGCGCTATGCAGTTGAGTTCCCTTTTCTATGGATGGCGAGTAGGAAAAGCTTTTTCTGTTTGCAGAAAAAGGTTACAAACCACATCTCCAGCCCACTGAGTCAGTCAAAGTCAGGCCAAAGTCAAGCGCAGTGGTGTTGGTAAACGGCAACCTGGCAAAAACTGCATCCAGACAGGGAGGTGGGTCAGTTGCAGGCCAGCCAGCCTGCCAAGCTGGTGGGTCAGCAGGTCCAGGAGCTGCAGTCAGACTAAATGATCACTGGATGTGGGTGTAGGAGGACAGACTGACCTGCAGCTAACTCACCAGGCCATCTGCTGCACACTAATCTCTAAGGTCCCTCGCCTCCCATACCGGAGAAACTTTTAGTCTCAGATATCACCTGCAGCAACGCGTCCGTGTGCATGTGCTGTAAGTAATGAGTTACGAAGGAGGTTCCAGGGAAGACACTGATGTGTAATAGGTCACGTTGTTAGTGGCAGCGCAAACAGATATGTGTCATCCTGTGAGTACGAACGTGTGTGTATGTGTGTAAGTGTTGAACCTTCGCAGTCTTGTCAGCAGAGGTGGTGGCAAAGAGACATCCGTCTGGCGAGACATGACAGGACAGAATGGCTGATGGCCGATGAGCCTCGATATCCTGCAGCTTCTCTCCACTTTCTATGTCCCACATCTTGTAGTGAGTAAAAGCAAAAGAGAGAGTTCATTTTATATTTGATTTCAAGCTGTTCAACTGGGAGTCTATTTGTGTGTGTGTGTGTGTGTGTGTGTGTGTGTGTGTTTTTCACCTTGACAGTGCCGTCGAAGGACCAGGACAGCAGTCTCGTTTCGGCAGGTGAGTTGGAGAGCAGTGAGAAGCATCTGACTTGTTCCTTGTGACCCTGCAGTACTTTACACTCCCCAGACTGCCACTTCCACACCTAAAGGGGGCAACAGAGAGATACGGACAAGGAATATTATAGCCACTGATCTTTTTTACTTCAGCCTGTTTCCAATATCCACCCTTATAGACTTGCACACTTTTTGATGTGCGTTTCCCAATAAGTGAATTCAGCAGGTGCTTGTGCAAACTTTCTGTGAGTCTGCACACTTTCCTAGGAGAATAACCCAAAATCCATAGCATTCTAGTAGGAGCCTCACGCTCTGCTAGGCACCAAAATGCAGGTAATATGTGATGTCTGCGCTGTCCCAATCCTCAATAGCATTTGTAGCCTGCAACCCCTTTCACTCAGGCACTTATAATGCATATGACATCAATTAAAGTCTGTGAGGGTTTAATAGCTTAAAGCTTAGGGTGGATATTGGAAATGGAATTGAAAAGTCAAACTTCTTTGTACTTCCATTAAATAAAAAAAAGTTATGTAAGTTTGGGAAGGTATAAAAATCCCATGAATACAGTTATTATTAGGTTTAAACTTAGAGAGAACTCATTACTGGTGCAGTGCTTTAGGAGAGGTCTTCTCATAATTGTGTTTGAGTCGTTTAAGACTTTAAGCTGGGGTCATATTTGCATTTCCTAAATCTTAACAGCTGAGGTCAGAATGGATGGAGAATAAAACTGAGGTTCAAAAATACTAGAATTTTTCCTTTAAATACTAACATTACTCATCAGGATCCATTCAAATAACAAAGTGAAAGAGGCAAAGATTAACTTCGAGATCTCTCAAAAACATCCCAGAAATAAAAGTAGAGAAATTGTATTTCAATAACAGTCGGTTTCTTTGGCACAAGTTGCAGTAGCCATACAGCATCCAACAATCATTTCACATGGAGCAATGGAGGCTGCAGTGTAGCCTCATGTACTGCTACAACAGTAATATTTCAGTAACTTTTAGAACTGTACAACATTGCTAATGGTACAGTAGATCACAGTATTTTATAATAATCGAATTAATCTGTCGAGTTAAAACTCTTGACCTGCATCTGTATACAGAGCTTGTTCTATGACAGTGTCCAGGCAGGTAAATGACAAGAGACAAGAGTTCAACCTAGTCCAAAGATGTGTGCAGGACAGACAGAATCACCCAGATCATCCTATCAATCATGCCTTTACGTGCAACAATGCACCTAATCTCTTTATGAATAGAACACGCCATTTGTCCAAAGGCAACAATCCATCACCGACTAACATCTCTGTCATTAGATCTCTTTACATTCCCTCTGCGTCTGCATTAACATCTAAATACACACCACCATTTCCTAGCCTGCACATATCAAACAGCATTGAATTTGAATAGCATCTGAATAAGCGGCGGATGGTCCGAGACTAGCGATGTGCATAGGCAGCAGCCGAGTGAATTCGGAACAAGGTGCTCCGTTGTGAGAGAGGGAAGGAAGTGCTGCAGTGGACAGGTCTGTCAGCAAAAAGAAAAGATGAAGAAGGAGGAGGAGGAGATGAGAGGGGAGGAGAGGAAAGGGGAAATGAGCAACAGAGCATGAACGGTGGGGGTTGACAGACCGTGACGGTCTGAAATACACACACATACTCACACACAAACACACATAGTTGCACACGGTAAACTCAAGAGCAGGAGGGAGATAAAGAGCTATCGAGAGCCGCATAGCCGAAGGCAAAAGGAGGGGAAAAGGAAGGAGAGGAGACAAAAGAGGGGGATGAAGAATGGAGAGGTGAAGAGGGCCGACAGAGACGCTGGTAGGGTGTAACAGGTAGGGGAAGGTGAAAGCACCAGAGAGACCTGAAACACTCAGAGGATGGGTGATTCAGCAGAGCAGGCAGTTTTACTCAAGGTGAGGGATGGGGATGGGGGAGAAAAATAATCGATAGCGGAGAAGAAAAATGGGAAGCGGGACGGGGGAGGAGGTGAAAGAACATGTCATGAATTAGGCAAGAAAAGATGGTGGACAATGAGGGAGATGGAGATGAATGGGAGCAAGACCAACAGGAAAACTAAGCAGAAAGAGAGAAAGAAAAAGCATAAGGGAGGAGGGGAGCAACTGCGGGAGGAGAGGAGCCTACCCTTATGGTGGTGTCTTCAGAGGACGTGATGAGTGTTTGGCCGTTCTGGCTGAACTGGCAGTGCAGCACCGTCTTGGTGTGTCCCGGCAGTGTGGCTAGGAGCTTCCCAGAGGGCACCTCCAACACCTGGAAGAAAGAAAGAAACATTAGCACCACAAGTATCCACATGAACAGAAACAAGAGTTTACAGCCACACTAGAAACTCTAATGTTAGTGTCAGCATACTAACATGCTCACAGTGACTATGTTAACATGCTGACATTTAGCCGATATGTTTACAATGCTCACCACCTCAGTTTAGTGGGTTAGCATTTGCCAATTAACTAAACACAACTGAGGATGATGAGAATGTCAGGAATTTGTCATAAACTAAAGTATTGGACAAACTAATATTTTAATCAGATGAAAAGTCAGGATCACCAAAGTTGTTGCAATTCATCCTGAGGGAAACATGACTGTGTGTACCGAATTTCAGGACAGTCCAGCCAATAGTTCCCATAGAACTTCATCGCAGGCATGGCTATAGACTAGTCGGTGGCATGGATATACTGAGCACTGAGAGCTCTACTGTACATAGAAGTCACACAAAGTTCACACCCCATGTTTAGAATCTCCATGCAAGCCTCAAATGATAGCTATGTTCGCCAAGATATACTCTTTCTGACAAAAAGTCACATTTTAAGGGAGTAATTGAGAAGGAGAGAGATAAAGTGCAGCTGCTGGCTTGATGGTGCTAAGCACAGCTTTGAGCGAGGCCGTTCAGTCCGGTCAAGACCGCAGACGGGGGTCTGAAGTCCTGGAGAGATTACTGAGGGAGTCGGAGAACAAAACAGCTTTTTTTTTGCTCAAAAGATCCAGCTTGAAGAAAAAAATGTCATCATGCATTCTCACTTGGGATAGCTACTGCTGCATAAAACCTGTTATAATAAAGCTCTTGAGATGTAAATCTTTCACAAAGTATTCAAAGCTGATTTTGAGACAGATTTTGTGAATGCCCTCAGAAAGGTCAACTGGATGGTTGCAAACACTACAGCCCAGAGACTTCCAGAAGTCTTTCATGGGGTTCCGGGGAGGTCTGTAGCAAAAAAGGAAAGGGGTATAACTCTAGGGCTGGCCGGTTGCTCAGTTGGTCCATTACTTGATCCAGACTGAAATATCTCAACAACTACTGGATGGATTGCCATGCAGTTTGGTTCTAGACATTCATGTTACCCACAGGATGCATTGACATTTCATCTAGTGCCAATCAGAACTAAATCTGACTCCAACATTTTGGTTTATGACAAAATATCTGTAAAACGAATGGAATTGCCATCACCCTCAGCTGAGTGCTAATTTTACAATGCTGACATGCTAACATGCTAAACCAAGATGGTAAAAATGGAAGTCATTCTACCTAAACATCAGTATGTAAGCATTGTCACTCTGTTCATGTTAGCATACTGGCAAATGCAGTACAACAGAAAAAGATTTTTTTTTGTTACAACAAAAATGAACTACTTCTACTTATCAATGACGAGTACAAAGAAGAATAATTAAGGTATTATGATGTGAAACATGCGTATAGATTACAACTGTATTTATAATTTTTTTTATTTTATTAGAGCCTTCATTTGTCTAATTAACCTTCAGATGATCTATCCAGTGATAAAATAATTACTCAAATTTAGTTTATCCTTGCTGTGGCTGAGTCTGCAACTTTGTAAACGTACTAACTATAAATAATATATAAATTACTGAATGTCATACAAAAACAATAGTTTACTCATTCAAACTGATTTAAACACAGGGTAAAAAGCACAAAAACCTTATGTGAAAACACTTTGACCACTTAATGAATACAATTTGCACAATATTATCTTCAGCACAGCACCTGTAGTTTTGAAAGTATAAAAGAAAGGCCCATAATGATTGGGGATTTTACCAGGCACTAAAATATTTACATCTCAGAGGAGAGGGTTGAAATGTCTGAGCAGAACAAGCCTCGGGGCACACCGACCATGTTTGTCAAGCTCCACGTAAGAGATGTAAGTTTGAAAGCCTGGGAGAGAACGCTTTAGAGAGCTTTACACATCCGGCTCAAGGTTTTCTGGGATGGTGCAGTCAGGAAAATGCCTGAGGGTGTTTGGTAAAAACACCCATAAACAAATATAAAAGCAGGCTAATGTAAAGAGTAAAGATGGGGAACACTTGTTTTAAATACCACTACCGAGGGAGTAAACAAGTCACTGAAGCTTTGCAGAAGTCTGAAATCAAAGATAAACTCATAGAAGTGGTGAAGGAGTGAGATGGTCACTGTTTAAGCTGGACCTGCATAATAAGACATGATCACAGATACATACAGTAACAACAAATTATTAACAAACAGTGTTATTCTGGGTGATTCTTGAAGGGTCTGAGACACACATACAAACATATATCACTCTTTCCCTACCATACCTGGACGCTGCCTGTGCATAGCCCTACAGCCAACACCACCCCTCTGTAAGAGGTCAACAGTCGTCGGATCCTGCAGCCAACCCTCCTCAGAACCTGACTAGCTGTCAGCCCTGCTGCCTGTCACAGAACACACACATTCACACACTCACAACTGCTTTTTCTTTCTCAATCGTAAAGAAACACACAGTTACTTTCCGTCCTTGCCTGCACATATTACATTTAGTCAGATATGTATTAATGCAAAGCTTGTATGTCAGACTGACACTGAAGATGATGACTTACTACTAGTTTCCTCCTTCAGTAAACTGGTTTTAAATAACAGATGAGGCAAAAGGAAATGAATGCCTTTCACTGCAGTGGTCACTGGCACCAGGAATACCTCGAGCTAGCACTGGGGCTCTCTCTGGTGTTAGCTCAGAGGACTACAGCAGCAAAAGCTGTATGGACTCCATGATGACTAAAAAGCACTTAAAATGTATCTAAATCTGTCCGCGGTAGCAAGTAAAACACCAAATGTAATGTCCAATGGGCTTGAACGAATGACTGCAATACAAAATCATTTGGACATCTCTAACAGGAGGACTATAAAATGCAACAAAACAGTGTTGGTTTCATTTCAACAAATATTAGAATTTTGGATGCTGTACATGCAGGACAGCAGCAAAATGGAAGTGGTTACAGGGACGATTACCATCAAATCATAGTGATCCAACTGAACTGCAAGGCAATGACACGGACTAGGCAATAAGTCCCGTTCCAATGAACAAAGGCAATTCACCGGCAAATCCATGTCTTCTTAACAAAAAGAGATACGGTGTATGGTCCGAATTAATCCTGTTTGACTGTCTGATTGAAGGTAATCTTAACATATCAGCTGTTTATGTTGCTATCTGATAAAAACATCAGATAGTTCAAGATTGTAAAGATCGTTTTTGATACTTGGTTCAATGGACACATTTCAGTTGTTTCCAAAAAAGTATTGAGGTTTCAAACCCAAGTGTAGTCAATAATTGCCTGATTGGAGAGCAGAAAACATGACTGTAGCTTTGTGGTACAGCACTGACCATTAATATCTAGTTATGTATTAGCACTGCTATTCTGCACTACTGGTTTAAAAATCTTGGCTTAGAAGTGAGTTCAAATCAGAGTGATGCACAGAGCAACTTTTGTGGCAGAAGTTTCTTCACAAAGTGGAAAAAGGTATAAAAGATTTTTGTGCATTTACGTAACTGAGAGTATCTCGATCGATACTTTTTTCATTAGGTTTCACTTAGTCCTCGTGTCCACTAATCCTTTCTTCTCATATCTCTGGGGCCAGAGGAGGAGCTGTAATTAAAATCATTAACCCCTGTATACATTAAGACTGCAGGACCTAATAATTAATTAGAGTTGCTCTCTGCTGTAGGGCGCTACCCCGGCCACAGCACGGGCGAGTCAGGGGACTGTGAGTACGTGTGTTCTTTAATATAGGACGGGAACTTTCTGGGACGTCCTCTACTGTTGCAATATGTGCGTAGCATGCAAAAAACACATGCACTCACACACAATAAGGCACACCTGCCACACTGCAGACTAGGACCTCATTCGCTGCCTGCAAACAACAATTTATCATCAAAACAAAGAGCAGCGGAGCAAGGAGAGCGGGAGAGCGACAGAACAAAAGGAGGGCGAAAGAGACAAAATAAAAGGAGGGATTAAAAATAAAGTAATGTGACAGAGATGGTAAAATATGAAAATAGAGAGCCGGAGTGAAGAGCGCTGAGAATACAAATCAGCGGTGAAAGAAAAAGGCAGAGCAGTGAGGAGTGGAGGGAGAGGGAGATGAAAGAGGGGTTTTGAGTTGACCTGACGCACAGCTGACAGCACAGATAAAAAGGGCGACAGGGCTAATGTCAGATCTCATGACTCAACATGGTCTGAAAAACACCTCCTACAGCAACACAGGACGGAGACAGACACACACACACACAAACACACACATACACACACACTAAAGTGGAAATTTGGACATTTACAACCTTGATTGTTGTGCACATATTCACATTTCTGTTTTTGTTAAACAAACGAGATAGAACATAAAAAGTTAATTGAAGAGGTGCTGGTAGCAGGATATCCGCGGAGCAAATCCTGGCTGTAGATTCATGTTTACCGCAGATAGAAGAGTGGTATTGATCTTCTCATCTAACTGTGAGCAAGAAAGCAAACAGAGCATCTCCCAAGACTACTTGTCTTGTGATTCTGTTTAACAATGGAAGGAGGAAGGGCTGCAACTGAGAATTATCATCATTCAATAAGTGTGTTGATTTATTTTTATTTTAAATAAAATGTATTAATCCCAATTAGAGCTGAAGCAATTAGTCAATCAGCTGATAAATTGATTAATTGATAACAGAAAATTCATCTATAGCTGTTTTCATAATTATTTGAGTCATTTTAAAATCTAAAATGCCAAATATTTGCTGCTTCCATCTTCTAAAATGTGAGGATTTGCAATTTTTCTTGGTCTTATATGATAGTAAATTGAATATTTTTAGGACTGTTAGTTGGACAAAACAAGAAACTCAACTTGACCATTTTTAACTATTCTGACTATATTCTGACATATTATAGGCAAAGCAATTTATGGATAAATCAAGAAAATAATCTGGAGATTAATCGATAATGATTAGATGCTGCCCTACACATGACAGTGAAAATTTAAATTAACTAAGGTGAAGTTTTGAAATAACTTGTTTTTTCTGTCCAAAATCAAAACATATTCAATGTACAAAATTGAATATCACAGAAATGCAGCATTTTACAAGCTAGAACCACTTAATATTTGACATTTTTGCTTGACAAACATTGCTGATGAACCATCATCTCAGCATGAGCACTAGAATCAAGTGCCTGAAATCTACACACAAACATGTGTCGTAGACCTAAATGTGTTTTCTACCTGCACAGTGCCATCTTCCTGGCCCAGGACCACAGCAGAGGGCTGCCTGAACATGCACGTACACCGGATCCTGGAAGACTTCTCCTCTGACTGGAACAGCACTGATCCTGACCTGCCATCACGCACCTGACAAATAAACACACACACACACACACACACATTGTTCTCTATGACAAGCTGACACATGCACATCATAGCACAGTAATACTTGTTTGCACTTGAACTCATATTCCAAAGAAAACAATCATTCAAGCTTCATATTTCTGCCCAGCGGCATTTATTCATTAATTCAGTCTCTCCCCTTCATTTTCCCTCCAGCTCACCTGCAGTCTGTTGCAGTTGTCTGCAGCTGACAATATGATTTCTTCATCACTGAAGAGAACGTCAGAGTCTCTTTTCAGGTGGACGGCTGAGGAGGTGTGCACCTTCTTAGGCTCCCATAACTGCAAGCAACACAGGACAGGAAACAGGCTTCAACATTAGTTACATTCACTTTTCTTATGTTTTTCCTCCTAAATTACTTTATATTTATGCAGAGGAGCTGATCTTGGCTGAAAAAACCTTGTTAGTTTACAAAATAGTTTACATAGTCAGTGATGTTGTTCGTTATTTATATTTTGTCTGACTTTTATTGTTATGCTGCGGAGACAAACTGGGAAAATAACCTGTCTGCATCAATAAATAAGTCATCAGTATCTGTCTCTTACATTTTTGTTTAGCACTTCAAACTGAATTTCCAGATGGCCTAACAGCTGAAAAACACACATGCTGGTAACGGAACACTTAAGCAGCTCAAGATGGTTTCCTATCCTCTGGAAGAATATTTACAGGGTCAGGTGGGGCTTTTTCTTCTTGTTGGATCAGAAATGGGTCAATTTAACCCTCATTTTTAAAGAAATAAATACAAAATTCTCAGATTTTAGCTTCCAAAGTGCGGATATTTACTATGACAGTAAACTGAATACCTTTATGAACAAAACAAGAAATTTGAGGATATGATCTTTGGTTTTAGGAAACAGTGATCAACATTTTTCACTGTTTTCTGACATTTTATGGACCAAACAACTAATCAATTAATTGAGCTGCTTGTTGGATGGTTGAATAGCTTTAGGTCAGACACCACATCAATAATAAAGACAAAAGGCTAAAGCAATAGAGTGGTTAGTATACAATGATTTCATTCATACAAAAGACTATGTTTGATACAACATAGCTTTAGCATGACTCTGATTTAACTGTCATAAGAGGTAATTAGAACAATACTGACACTATCTGAGTCAGTCTTACCCTGACAGTCTGGTCGTCAGAGCAGGAAAGCAGCTGTGAGCCATCAGGAGAGAACTGGACACGCTGGACCCAACTCAGGTGACCACTGCAGTCTGCCATCTTCTTATTGGACTCCAGGTCCCACAGCTGGAAGACACATATGGGTTACTGTACACTTATTCAGCAGTATATTTAATATATTATGATTTTTAGACACCCTCGGTCTGATATAGCTCTTAGATAGGAACTTTACTTTCTCAATAAAATCTGATATAAAACATGATTTATTATCTTTTACTTCCTTGTTATAGATAAATGTTTTGAACATAAAAAAAAGACACTAAATATATAGTGTGATTGTGTGTGTATAGTGTGTATTATACCTCCACAGCATAGTTTGAGAATGCGATAGCAAGCAGGTTACTGGTAGGACAGGCGTGACAGTATTGCACCGTGCTCAGGCGATTTGTTTTGATCTCCAACAACATTTCCGATGTCTCCACGTCAAACACCTGAAAAACAGCAGCAGAAAGACAAATCAGAGTCTACTCGAGCACTGGGAACAATATGAAAGTAAAATTTTGACATGCCAATTTTACTGTCTGATATTTGAGGCAACTGCCAATATTTAAGAGTTTAAGAAATGCAGTGACTTGATTTGGCTGCTACTTCTGAACAAACATAACATTAAAATTTTGGTTATGTTCCCACCATAACAGCTTGTCAGTGCTTTTAGTTAGAAACTATGTAATGCAACTCTGTTTCTAAATGACATCAAACATACATTTGGCATTTCTGTACAATTTATTTACACTGATACCAATATGTCTGTTCTAAGCTAAAGCCAGGTGATAATATCTGGCATGCCAATCTAAAGGTTGGCTCTACAATAAATCTATATAAATTCATTAGGTATTGTACATCAAGTGAACGGAGTTGTACTACACAATAAAACTAATTCTCTTGTGCCTTAAGATTAAAACTTTAGAGCAAACTTGCAACATTAAAGTCTAATTTTCCTTCTCCCTAAAACCAAAGAGACAAGCTCAGACATCTCTGCAGCGTTTGGGTTGTTTCCCAGAATACGAACAAATGAAGACATAGAGGACACAGACAGACTGATTACAGGACAAGACTGAATGATTTTGGAAAGCTAGGGAGAGGAGGGGCTGCTCACATTTACAATCAGGACACACATTCTTCAGACTATGCGGAAGACAAACTGACAAATAGCCTCTCTCTCCTGTCTCCTTCAATGAAATGACACACTCACAAGGACGTGGAGGACAAAGTCAACCCTGCGGTGTTGGGATTTGTATCTGTACAGGCGAGACATGTACGACAAGACAGCTCCACATGCAAACCATTTACACCCTGTTTATTCAGCACTCCCCACAGAACAACAACAACAACACACTACAGCAAACAATACTCTGCAATATACCCGTTCATATTCCCCCAAAATGCTCACCAGAACAGCGTTTCGGGCTGCACATATGATGCGTTTGCCGTCAGCAGTCCAGGTGCTGCACTTGACAAGGACGTCTTCATCGCTCTCTGTAAACATGTCTTTCACGTTGATCGTTTTCCACTCATTGGCAGTCGACACCCGAAACAGCTGCAGGGATGCAGGTACACAAAAAAAAAAAACCAGAAAGTCGGAAGAGGATACGTTCTATGAGTACTGTGGCCTCAAAAGCATCTGTGCACACACGCCTATGTATAAGGTTTAGGATAATGTGTAGAAGATGCAGAACATTTTTGAGTTTGGAGATATACAGTTGTAGACTTTTTTACTGGCGAAACCCATAACATTTTTTGGCACTGATGTTAAAAAAAAATAATAACTGTGTTACAGTCTCATAAAGTACAGTACAGTTTGATATGCATTGCCATAGGAAGGGACAGCTTTACAAGTATCTAGTTTAATGGCAGTCACCTTAATAGTACCGTCGTTAGAGGAAGTGGACACATAGGTGTCATCAGGGGAGAAACAGCAGTGGTTGACGGGCTCGAAGTGGCCAAACATGGTGTTCTGGGAAGATGGCTTGTTGAGGTTCCACAACTGCAGAACCAGAGAGAAATACAGTAAGACAGAAAGAAGAATAAAGAAAAGAGGAGACAGGAGTACAATGTAGGGAAAAACTACATAAGAACTATAAATAAGTTATATTTGCATGCAAAACAAACACTTGCACACCTTGACATTCAGGAACTTGTCATTGGAGCAGGTGGCCAGCAGGAGGCGTTGTGATGTGTTGGTAAACTCACAGTGGTTGACCTGCTCTTGATGCTCCTCCTCAAAGACCCTTAACTGCACGCCTTTCTCCACGTTCCACACCTATGAGGCACACAGGTTGAAGAATATTATGATAAAACGAAATGCTGGATTTTGTGTGTATTTTTACTTTCACGCTGTTTTTTGCTGTAAACAAGTAGGTCACAGTGGTTAAGTGGACAGTTATCTGCTTACCTTGACCTTCCTGTCACTAGAGCAGGTTGCTAGGAGACGGTCGTCAGGGGAGAAGGCACAGCAGAGCACCTCGTCATCATGGGCCTGGATCTCTGTGAGCTTCTCACCTGAGGTGCTTTTAAACACCTGAGTGCAAATGTACAATGACAGCAGTTACACAACACTATGTATATTCAATAAAAAAAGAGAGTACATTAGGAGCACAAACTCTTTTCCTGTGGAAGCTAAACTACAAAAAATAAAATGTAGTAAATTGATAACTAAACCTACAGACTATATAACTGAAATATAAAAATGGTTACAAAAGATACATGCACACTTTAGGCAGTGTACTTCAAGTGGAAGTCTCACTGAATGCTGCATTTCATTTTTTTTTATAAACCTCGAGCAATAAAAGTAGTTGCCCTCCATATTTGGTCTCCATGGAAACTATTTGGACTTCATAATTTTAATCTCACACACACACATACACAAATACACTCAATGTCTTTGTTTTGATACCTTGAGTGTCTTGCTGGCTCCACTGGAGGCGATTTTTGTTCCATCGTGGGAGAAGCAGGCGGAGTAGATGGAGCCCTGGTGGGGGTGGATCACCAGACGGGACAGACTCTCTACACTGCTCTTATTCCTGGACAAAAAAAACCCACAAATAAAAGTCCAGCCTGGGATAGACACCCTATGATCACCATTTTGTAAAATGTATAATAAGGCTGAATATATGGCTAATATACAGGTTATTGTTCTGTTTACCACAACTATTGTGCACTGGATAAATCAAATCCAAGTAAAAAGACCATTAATAGAACATTCACATATCAGAACAACAGAGTAAAATATTTGCTTGCTTGCGTACAGCCAGTCAAAGTAGAGTTTCCCTGCACTGGTCCGCTCCTGCGCCTGCAGCAGAGCCTGTCTGTAGACCTCAGAGGTACGGGGCTCAGACAGAGCAAGCTGCACCACGTCGGGAAAAGGCCGCTGCTCCAGGTGGTGGCCGTTAAGAGACAGAAATTCCTGGAATTGACTGCGCACTTCACTGTTCTGGGTGGAGAAAAATAGGCACACATTAAAGACCAGTGCATGTTCCACTAAAGACTCTGGCTTGCCACTCATCATCAGGGCCCAACTGTTCTTCACAAAGCACTGTAAGGAGTTTAATCTTTAATTTCTTGATGCTAACACATTGTTTCGTGTGATGGTTATATTTGTTCATATTCGGGGTATCTGGCATCAGCCTAACCCTTTTTCCGCAATCCTCTTTTTTCTTGTCTAACCTTTTTTCTTAATCATTTTTGGAAACTTTCTCTTAGTAAAATATTATGAAAATGAAGATGAAAATCCTTATTCAAAATCAATTTTTATCAATGTTTTCTGGTGCAATTTAAGGGTTGTTTTTACATAAATGCAATCTTTGTTAATCCTAATTTTCCATTCTTCATCTCTAACAAAAGTCCATAAATCCAACTTTTTTATTATACTGTATTTGATTATACCTGCAACAAGATTGGACACAAAAAAACAGAATAAATTGTTACTTCTGCATAACAATCATGAATTACTGTTTCCAGTGCCTTATTACTATGCATGTCCTGATAAAACAGCTGTGGGAGTTACACGTTGTAGTCCCATGATTCCCCGTCTGTGTGTGATAAACCATTTGCCAATTATCAGATCTGCCCTTTTGCAGTGATGAAAATTGGAAAGGGAACAGGGGACAGCAAAAACATGAAAGGCTAATAAATGTATGTTTATGAGATAATCAAAAACAACTTGGGGGAAGATAATCGAGCGACGCAATTAATTTAATTCACAAAGTTTCACAGAGAGGCCATGGTCAAATTGACAGATCGACTTATGAACCTGCATTTTCCCTGAGGGGGGACTCATACCTGGGCACAGTTCACAATTTAATAAGGGAGAATGGGTGGCACTTTCACCCGCTATAACTCTAATCTTTCTCAGGTCAATAAAAAAAACAATCAGCAAGAAAACGCACAAAATAACCACATTTGTTTGTTTCATATAGTAAAATGTTCTTGTCTGCTGACCTCTTTGTCCAGAATGGGTCCATACTCCACATAGTCATTGATGAGGTGAGCTGGACCCATTATCTGGGCCTTGATGCTAACCCAGTCTAGAGAAAACATGAGTGCGTAGAGTTCCTAGACAGAGGGAGACAGCCAGAGACCAGAGACGTGGTGAGCAAGGAAAGAAAAATACTTTTTGTTGGTCTGTTTTTTCCACTATTAGCATATATATATCACAAAAATTCTTAATTATTATTAATTCAAACTACAGAAATGTGCAAAAGTGTGTGTATTACCTGGGAGAGGTTGGCTTTGGCCATATGGTAGGTTAGGAACCTGATCCAGTAAAGACATTCCTCATCTCCTGAGGTGGGAGGACCATCTCTGTAGTACTGCTGGTACTGGTGCACCACCTTAGTGTGGAGGCTCTGAAACACACACATCAGTCAGAATTAATAATGATCAAATGGCTTGTTTTCTTAGATTTGCATGCTCTGGCCTCTCTGCTCTGTGTGATGTAAACTAAAAACAAAACACACACCAGGTGAAGATCACTTTGGCCTCTGTGTGTTCTTCTTCCACCACTCAGCCAATCCTTTACAATGCCTATCAGCATCTTACCGCTGTTGTAACACCACTGCTGTAAATCAGCTAACATTGCCTCTTAAGGCTTCTAGTTTAATGCCAACACTGTCCACAAAATGACTGAAATCCAACAGTTTTAGCTCTTGTTAGCTTGCATCCACACCAACCTCGAGCTGAGTGCGATTCTGCTCCACCAGGAAATCAAGCTGGAGGTCATGGAGGTAGTACTGGTAGGGTTTATTGTGACTGTCCACAAAAAGCAGAGATTTGTTGACAAATTCCTCAAGAATGTCCTCCACCTCCTCCGGCTCCAAGTCCCACAGAACAGACAGCACCTGGAAGAAGGAATAACATTTTAACCTGTGTATCTTCAGACTGATGCTCCATTTCTTTGTTTTGTGTTTTTTTTCTGTGAAAGAGTATCCTGATTCCTGAATTTGTCCAAATACTGGAGCATAGTGGGATGTTTTTTTCTATCATATATGTGAAAGGTTACAACCTGTCCCATCCAAGCAACATCAGCAGAATTAAACATTATGTTGGTTTTCTAATGTAAAAAATGTAAAAAGAGACATTTTTTGAATGATACGTAAGGCTAATTACAGTACTTATGCAGACAGAAAACAACAATGTACTTAATAAATACCTAAATCAAGTGCCTCAATTAAAAACACATAAAAAGGGTCATGTGACCACAGCTGTTGTTGTGATGCCAAACCTTCGCAGGGACTTTGATGTCCTTCTCTAGCACAGTAAGGTCCTTGTAGAGCTCTCGATGTTCATCAGGCAGGACTTCAATGCTGGCAGCCATGGCTTGGTCGAGGGCGTCGTAGTCGTAAGACGACGACTTTCTTATACGCTTGAACTGCTTCTGCTGCAGCTGGCGGAGGTAGTAATCCCAACGGTTGGGTTTCTCTTTGAGCAGAGCCCCAATAAGGGACACTACCAGAGGGGAACCTGGATGTGGCATAGAGAAGCGTGTTAAAGGAACAATTTGTGAACAAAAGCAGAGGGACATACAACATAAGATGTGAATGTGACAACACAACTAAATCTGGTTTACTAATTGTTTCTAATGCTGTTAAAGAGTCACTTATATAACCAATATTAATGAATGCAAAATTAAATCAGGTGACCTGAAGATACATTTTTCCGATCAATATGCCAAATTGTATAATTAACAACAGCTGTAATTTATATTGTGAAACTGCATGTAAAGTATGCTTCAGTTCAAAGACCTTTGCATTCTCTGACAATGCTGCGAGCCTCCTCAGGGAGTCTGTTGAGTTCAGTGTACTTAGCGAGGATCTCCAGTCCCTTGTTTTCATCCAGACCACTCTCCACTTCTACCTCATATTTAGCACCTACAAAATGAAAGCACAATTACAGCGCATACATTTTTGTAGGCACATAAATAAAGATTTCATTTATTCACGTCACCAGAGTAAAAAATATAAGGTACATACCACTAACAGAGTCAGCAAGGCTTCTATTTCTGGTGGTCAAAAGTATCCGACAGTGGATATCAAACGCCTTGAGCACTGTATTGTCCCAGATGTCATCTAGAATCAGCAGAGCTCTGAAACCAAAACGGAAACAGACAAGTGATCAGAGACCAAAGAAGCCCGCAGCACCTACATTGGCTCATGTTGTGGCAGATTAACACACATATGAGTTTTAAATATTTTATAGATTGTAGAATGCACTGCACGTAGACACAGTTGAATAAAAGAGGAAATAATATAGAAAATACATCATCCAGTTCCGCTGTTTTTTCCAGCTGTATTTATAGTCCATGTTAAATCAACAAGCCAATTTGCTTTGTGTGTGTATGTCAGATTTGCCTCTTGAATCTACAGTAGAATTTAAACAGCTATATCCATCTAAAAAACACAAAGCCGATCATGTGTATAAACATGTAAGCGTAGAAACCTCGGATATCTACGCAGCATGAGGAAGCGTAGGCGCTCCTTGGCCTCATCCAGAGAGTTGGAGGGACGGTGGAGGGACTGGGAATCCAGGCTCTGCTCCAGACGGAAACACAATGACTGGATCTTAACCAGCAAGTCTGGTTTGTCCAGTTGGCCGATGGACAGCCAGTGGATCCCTCCGGGGAAGCACTCTGTGGACAAGGCAGAGGTCAGAGAGGTAAGAGGTAAGAAACTACAGAAAGTCCAGGATTACTACAGATTTTTACAATTTTGAATGCTTTTTCTTTCCGTAGTCTGTGACTGTTTCAGCCATTCAAAGATTATTCACCTTCGATGAGTCTGTGGTCTCTGACAGCCTCGGCAGCCAGGACGGATTTTCCCGAGCCAGCCATGCCGAAGACAGTGACCCAGCCGGGCTCCTTCAGCAGCCGGTAGAGTTTCTCCCTAACCCGGTTCACAAGCTCTGGTCTGCTGACAAACACCACGGGCCTCTGCGGTACGCCACCTTCACTGAGGACTGCCTGGACTGTTAATAATAAGGGCAGATAAATTGTGCGTTGAAGTTTTTGACCTTCCACATGCATAAAATGACACCTTTGAAAGCAGATTAAATAGATCTCTCCACTAGTGAAAACATCCCACGGCTCCCTTTTCTCACCGTAAGCTACGCTGCCATCAGAGGACTTATTATGTGCATCAGGCAACATGCGAGGTAGGTCATCTTGAAGCAGACTGGCCATATCATCGTATGCCTCCTTGACCAGGGCATTGTAGAAAGAGATGTAGGCACGGTTGTCCTTCTTCAGCAGCAGCTCCAGCAGAGCCACAGCCTGATCCTTCCTGTTGGGCTGGAGAGAGAGTGAGATATTAGAGACTTCAAAATATGTATGTTACATGCTGCTACTGTGAAGAGTCTCATATGAGGTGGTGAAAACATCATAACTAAATGTGTATAGCAACGTATAGAAATAGCTCAAATCCACACACTAAACATACACTAAACATGTCATAGAAGCCAGTGAAGTTACAGCCAGGAATAGGAAGAGCAAAGGTCAGAGCCACAAAACCCCAGACAATAAATGATCACTTATCACCTACAGCAGCTAATGTGTATTCTGTTAATGCGTCCCTCAGCAAGACACCAAAAGTAAAAAAAAACAAAAAAACAGTACCTGCTAATTGCTGAGGTGAGTGAGGAGAGTTTAAAATAAAACTGCATATAAAATGGCTACGGTGGTGAATGAGGAGGACGGTGACTCACAATGAGTTTAAGAGGAGGAAGTAGATTAATACAATGATGTGCGTAAGTGCGTAAACAAAGAACAGTTTTACAACTGATTAAAACTTGGACAAATTTAAGCTTTAGTCAGTTTTAAAAGGTTAAAGCCAACACAGAACTGAAGGAAGCAGGAACACAAAGCAGCAACATCCCAAGAAAATAACGTGACACATAACATTGGTTCCAAATTATGAATCTTTTTCCCTTCCCATTCCCAGCAGATGCTTACCTGGGTCCTGATCCTCTCCTCCTCATCCACACTCAGTACGCCATCACTGACCATGTGGTCCATCAGGTAAGAGGGCTTAATGTCCTGCTCCAGTCTGTGGCGAAAGCGCAGCAGACAGCTCCGCGCCCTTTCCTCCATTGCCATCTCTGCACAGCACACCAACCATGCAGGATCCTGTCCTGCTGCGGATAAATGACGGCGACACGTGGACATTTGATGAGCTTTCAAGTTATATACACAACATGGACAAAAGTATGAGGACGCCCAAACATTACAGCCACAGGTAATTGTTGAATATTTAACTCCAAAAACCATGTACATCGATACGCTGCCTCCAGTCTGACGATGGTTGAAACAGCAAATGTGGCTCTGTCTTTTTTGAAGTAATTCTACAGCCACATTCTTCCACACCAAACTGGGTAAACCAAAACTCTGCTGACCTCACTGTGTGCGCTTACTGTCATACTAAAACAGGATGTGTACTTTCCCAAACTGTGTCACATAATTCAAAACACACTACTGCCTAAAACATCCTTGTACAGACAGGTTGTCTAGAGGTCTAAACATGTTGATGGAAAATCCTGTTCACCCCTCAATGGCTGTCCTATATCTCTACTGTCTATTCTCAAATAAAAGGCATAAATCCATCCCAAAAAATACTTTAAAAATGAAACAATGAACCAATTGAGTGACATAAAATTAATCTGCAACTATTTTAAAATTGTATTTATCCTCTCTTGATAAAAAAAGGTTCCTTTTTACATAAACAAATGAATTAATCAATTTAGAAAAGTAATTGTCAGGTGAACTGATAAGGACAATAGTTGTTAGTTGCTCTTGTAAAAAGAGGAACAAGAAGATCTTGTGAAATGAAACCACAAGAGTTCATCAGCTTTTCACAGAAGTCTCACCGAGATAAAACTCTACAATACAAACAAACACAAATACATACACACAATCTGTCTCCATAAACACAAAATACAGTCAAGGATTAGACAGCTTACCGACCTGATTAACGTTTATCGATTTCCTTACTCCTGAACAGCTTCTAGTAACAACCACAGCTACTCTATGTGACAGCTGTCACTCACTGAATGTGAAAGTGAATATGAAAACTGCAAGTCAGAGCTAAACTTAAAGTCTCACCGAGGTTATCGCGACCTTTCTTATCCCTTCCAGTCACTAACGTTAACCTGACACACTTTGCTCTTTTTCAATACTTGTCTCGACAAGTTCATTCTGACTTAAATGAAACAAAGACACTAGTAGATACTTACGAATATCTCCTTTTCTTTACCTAGAAAGGTATTTGCTGAACCGTAGACGGCTGTCAGGTGAAGTTGTGTTGTAAACAATTCAATGTGTACACAAATAAAAGGCGGTTATTGTCTGTGTTAACGTTGTGCTGCACGCCCAGTTTTGAAAGACGTCTTCCTGGTTCATAACAAAAACAACTACCCCGGTGTGAAACAGCCAATGGCGTATCGACATTTAAACCACGTGACTGGTGAGGTCATGCGTTTGACGGCTCGGTAACTGGGCAAACTGATGCTGCTTTCAAAGGCTACTCCTGTGCTCGGAAATAAGTAAGCTCGCTAATTTAAATGCCTTTTTCTTTAAGTAATAATAACCAAAAGTACCCCCTTAATTAGATTTTGTTTTGATTTTGTAGTTTAATTTGTAAAATAAAATAACACAGCGCCATTGTTTACTGCTGCTGCAAATAAATTGGAGAATTGGCCCTTACGTTTGATATTTATTAATCTGTAAGGATGTTTAATCAAAAGTTTCTTTTCTTCGAAGTTTCTTCGAAATTCTTGACCCAGTCTCATTGCTTAACGTGTGTTGAATTGAATTAAAAGTTGTTTAATAATACATCGCATGGTATTTCAAGAGGTATCCATTTGTGTTTACTACTTTCCGGACTGTATTTATGTAAAGGTAACATTGCTGCCTAGTGACAACAAGAGATGAGAGCATGTTGTTTATTCCAACAGTACAGTGATGAACTGATAATGCAATTATTGAGTAGCCATAAATAGATTACCTGCACAAATGCTGTGTCAAAAGAAAGTCAGCCTGTTCAGAAATAATACATTTTTAATAAAAATGTATACGATTGAAGTGATTAAGAATCCCACCCTGCATCTCCATTTATAGAAAAATATTAGATACTTAAAATGAATTTGGTCCATATTTCATTCATAAGTATGTTCAATCACAAATGTTTTTCCTTTGGGTTGTTGATCATAACATAAGTGATTTTTATTTATTTATTCCTTGTAAAGACAAACAATCCCTCTGCATTAATATGATGTATTATGGTTTAAATGTTATCTACCTACATGTACCACACTTTTTGTCTATTTTGTTATATACATTTATTTATTTAATAGCCTTACAACTTGTAAAAGGCAACCATGAAGGTTTTTAAGATGATATTAAAAATCATGAAATAAAACCTTGTAGGTTAGCATGCCTATATTGTACATTAAGTCAGGGCGTACAGTAAGTACAGTCAATTTTTTACATTTTGGTTGTGTACTTCACTCATGATTTTAATATTTCAGACAATGTGTAAGGCAGACCATGTAGAAGACCACATTTTGCCTTCATATATATATTATATTAGGCAGTCACCATTATCCTGGCCAAAATAATTCACAGTATTATCCCGATAATTATCAAAATATACTTAAAATGCCACTAAAACACTAAAATCACTTCACCTTATATATGGTAAGGAAACAAATATTTGTATTGTAAAGAACGTATACGTCAGATAGGAGAAGTACTGGTATTTTAGCGAGCCAGGCAACTTTTTCAAGTCACTCTATATACAGTATATATTATTCTGATAATGGAAATTCACCATGAGTATTTTTTTATCCCAATTTGTGATAAAATTTTATATCGTCCCATCCATAATTTACATATCATGGTGTGCTCCTACATGAGCACTGACACGCCAACATACAGTATATTTCGAAAACAGACTTTATGTTTTAGGATCATTCTGTTTGGAAACTTCAAATCTGTCCTCATATAAATGAAGATATGGTCAATTTTCAAAGTTTTATTATATTAATTGTGGTACACAAGAAAAGTACAATAACTTCCCATATTTTCATGTAAACTTTCATGTAAAGTACATAACTGCTTTTCTTTGTGCATCATTGGTTCCACTGGAAATTTTCAGACACAAAGTCACTTTTGAGTGCAGCACCTTTCATTTCCACACAGGTTCTAACAGCCAACACAGCAATACTGTAGCAACTACAGTACCTCAAAATGTAACAAACATTGCAACTAAATCAATATAACAAGTATTCCACTGGCAGTAAATAAGTAAAATTACAGAACATACATGTGACAAATACTAACTAGTAAAAGCTCAAATGACCTAACCCCAACACAAAGCTACTCATGCAGACAACTTTTAATTCCTTTTCTTTGCAAAAATAAGAATAAAACTTTTTTTTTTGGTTTCATTTCTACTATTTCTTTGCTGTATAGTAAATATCAGTGGATTAAACAGACTACAGAAAGTTACTTCTCTGGCTGATGAAAAAGTTAAAGGGAGAACAAATCAAAAGGAGTTATTCCAATGGGAAAAGGGCTTTATTGTCTATTCAAAGGTGGTCATAGTTAACTGTAGTTATACTATATATTACTTCTACCTAGAATTTATTCAAGTGATAAATAACTTGTTATATGTAAAGAATCTAATATGCTACACTGCTACTTTTCTAAATATATACGCTTCTTCCTCTTCGCTTCATAAAGCTTACTGTATCCTTTTTAGACATACTAAGGTTTTGCCCTTTTCCCCCATGCGGATTCCCTCCACGACAACAGGAGTTTGACTGCAGACAAATGTACAATACAGGGATCACTGTTAGGTTTAGAAACGGCTCGTTGTAACACTGGTTTTTACGGTTTTGAAGCTGTAAATGTTCACAGGACAGCATTTTGGAGCATTTACCACAAAGGACGCAGGTCACATTAAATGTTGACCACAAGGTGCCTTCACTGCTAAACGTAGTGATAAAAATTACATTTATAATACGGTAAAGATAACTCCAACCATTGGAGCACACTGACTTAGCAAAGCAGTTGCACTGCCTGGCTACTGTAGTACCTCCTCAGCTTTAGCTATGTCTCATGACAAAAAGGACTCCTTGGACTAAATGAGCCGAAGTTTGGTTTTAATTGGAGGTGACGGATTCGTGAGCGGTGTCCTGAGGAGGGCTTGCTGCTGGTGTGCTGTCGCTGAACATCAGCTTCCTGATGATACTGGCGTAGAAAGGTCCATAGACTGTCCTGTTGTAGTTGACCAGGGAGATAAACTTAGATCCCATCAGTGCTAATTCAGGTTTGATGGCAGTCAGGCCGGCTGGCACCTGTTCAAGTTTGACCTTGGGTTTGGGATCACAGATGAGCGCCATGAAGTATTGCTGCACACGGTCCTCTGCACAGAAACAAAAGGCGATGAGAAGTTAAAAAAAAAAACACTCCCAACCACGTGGATTTCTGGCTTCATCATCAGCTCCATTTTTGAGTTAAAGCTCTGCTCTTGATACTCACAAATCCACTCACAGCAATGCTTAATAACATATACACCCATTAAGTAATAGGAACAAATCTTCACATAACACAGTCCCTCCTGCCCACTGTCTTACCAACGAGAGTACGGATGGGATTGTCTTTCTGAGTGATGCTGCAGATCTGGCCTCTAAGGGTGGCCTGCAGTTCTGGGGTCAGTGCAGGGTAGCTCCTCTCTGTTAAAGACTTGTTGAGTTCACAGCAGATCTGAGCACTGACGCCCTCTAGTGCCTTTTCTAGGTTAAAGTTCCTACACAATAGAAGGAGAAGAGAGGTTCAAGCACCCATTTCATGCAATGTATATAGCAAATAACCTGTGATAGCCAGTTGTGTGTTTGAATACAAATTGCAAATTTAGGATTTCAAAAAATGAACTGACGGGCTGTGCATCCCATCCAGCAGCACACTGGTCATCCTCTTCAGACGGTCAGACAGCGAGGGCAGACCCTGGATAGGCCCTCCGATGGTGCTGCAGACAATGAGCAGCACCTCGTTCACTGCCTGACACCTCTGGAGCTGCCACTGAATCTCTCGCAGACGGCCCTCATCAGTCACCAAGGTCTAAAAGAGAACCACAAAAACAGACATAAGTATGGAGCTACAGCTGAGAGCGGAGTATCTTAGCATAAACTGTCACTATTCCGTCCAAATCTAATCCTAATCTAACTGTTTGTATATTTCACAAATATACATATTCTCTCTCTCAGTTAGATAAACATATTGAAAACACACTCACCTCAGGCAGCGGACTCCTTTCGTTATCCCATGTGAGGATGCCGACGAAGGCAGTGTTAAGGATCTGAAAGGGCCCAGGCATTGCTCGCTGTTGTTTCCCCTGACCTGTAGTCTGCTCTGTGGAGACGGTGGCCGACAGCAGCTCCTCCAGCGCCGACTTGATCCACGAGGTGGTGTGGTCCAAAGCACCTAAGGACGTTTGTCACAGAAATAATGGCTGAGGAGTTTCTTCTTAAAACTCTTTAAAGGCAGAACGACCAGAAAATGATTTGTTTCAATTATAGATTATATTAGGTAGATTACGCATTTTGTAACTATGTTAAACATGCAGTATTAAAAGCTATGGAGAAAATGCTGTTCTTGTTCACTCACTAGGTGTTTTGTCCAGGATGCTCTGAAACTTTGCCCTCTCATATTCAACACTCTGGGTCTGCAGCACAGGCCTCAGATTTTCAATTGTAAAGTTGACCAAGTCCGCCTTCATCAGGTCCAGCACACGGAAGATCTCCCTGGTGTGTAAAGAAACAATAAATAGATATAAATAGAACTCACACAGTCCATGTACTCTAACAGATAAACAATAAATCTCTGCTAATAAACAATGGATCCTGTCTTTGTGTGTACTGACCTGAACAGTGCCACGATGTTATCCGTGCTTTCCCGGAGCTTCTTGATTTCCTCATTCCTAACTGGTGCACACAACTTGCCCATGGTGGTGATAACATAAGAGGCAAGCCCCTGGATGTCTACAGCATCATTGTCAGCCTGCTGACGAATCAGGTCCATGTCCAGCACCTCCATGATCTGGGTCCGCATCCGATTGGCACCCGGATTAAGGAATGACAGTAAGATCTGTCCAAAGAGGAGAATTATTGTTATTTAACGTATTTAATCAGTGATGATTCTGTGTTTCTTACAGTTTTTCTACCAATCACAGAGGAGGCAAATATCAGTCAGAGCAATTGAATCATAAATTATTATTAAATTAAATCACTTCTCCAGATCGAGTGAAGCTGTAAACATCAGATTGTGTGTGCTGACCTCTCTGATCTCCTCCAATAATCTGATGGCTTGCCCATACTCAGGTGGGTCGTCGTTCAGCTCGGACGCCAGGATATCCCAGAAGGCCTTGTGGACATTATCTCTAACTAACTTCCATATACTAAAAAAAGAAATGGAAGATTTAGTTTTGCTGAGTATATCATAGGTCAGGAAAAATTTGTGAAATGGGCTTTGTTCTCCCACCTCTCCAAACAGTGAAGGAGAAAACCCAGTGCTGTATGCACTAAATAACCAACATGCATCATCTCAAGAATAAAAAAAACTAAAACACTCCTATCATTGAGCATGGAAGCTAATTTTCCAATTGTTGAGCGTATTTTGCGGTTTATTATCTGCTGCTGTCCATCTCTTCACTCTTCCACTTAATAAATTCTTCTCCTATATCTCATCTCTCTCAGTCTCTGTCCTGTTTACACTCTTGTTCAGTTCTGTGAGTTATGATAAAGATAAACACAGACAGATGTCAATGAGAACAGCAGAAAAGGTGATGTATAATGTACTCTCTCTTTACGTAAAATGCATTTCTGATTAAAATAAATATATTTATTTGTGTGGGTGGGGGTAATTAACATATAATTTCTGTAATATTATTGATATATGCATCTTTAATGTAACAAGGGTTGGTCATTTTAGGTTGCATGCGAATAGTGATGTTCATTTACTAAAAATAAATAAAAGGAGGTTGTATTGTTATGGATGAAGATGAGAGTTTATTTATCCCCTGGTTATATTTACAAACTACCAAGCAGTATATATAGTAATAAATAACCCCCACCTGTTCCAACATTAATAATGTACATACATTAATGCATTGATAATTATAATTCAATAATATAATATACATTATTCTTCAATGGTCCATGCATAATGAGTACTTTAAGTATAGTTTGATGCTAACAGTGTTATACTTTTAGTATTAGTAGACATCATGTTTTTGTGACTTCAGTTCCTCCTTACTGATGCAGTTTCTCTGTTTTTGTTCAAAGCTGTCATGATATATATGTTTTTGTTTGATTCACTCGCAGTTTGGGCACATATAACGGCGTCTCTTTGGATTTCTGACGTCTCGTGTTCCTTTGAAAACTCACATATCAGTGTCGACTGCCAGACCCCTTTTACAGCTATTCCACAGTCAACATAAAACTCACATATGTGTTTGACAATAAAACTTATCTTCCATGAGGTGTACATATAACTGTCAATACTGTGAAACTTCATACAAAGTATACACACAATAAGCAGCTCTCCTTGGTATTTAGGTTCACTGATAATCCCAAAACGTGATCAGGGTGTGAACAAATAAAGACCCAAAATCGTTTTTTATAGTATACCTGTCCTGAGGTATGCTGGCAGGCTCCATGTGGAAGTTGCCGTTCACAGTGATCTCATGGGCTAAGCTGAGGTGAAACAGGTCTCTGGCAGACTCCATGACTTCATCCAGGGTTAAGACTTTGGGTGGGCTTGCTGTGGGAAGAAAATATGGAATATATTATATGAAATTAAAAAAGGACGAATAAAAGCTTGAGCAAAAAAAGTCAGAGCTTAAAATCATCTCTTGAAGTTGCACGATGACAGTGGTGAGGGCGGTTATTCCTGGAATGTGATTAGAGATAACATACAGGCTCTGAAACTAGTACGAACAAAACAGCAATATAAATGTCATTTTTCAAAAAGAAGTTAGAAGCCAAACTAACTGGCGTGCCTTTCCCGAAACCTAAACAGCAAGTCAGAGGTTGTCCGGCGAGGGAACTCACAGGACGGCGTGCAATGCTTGCTGGAGCAGTCGCTGGTGAAGCTTTCGCGGGAACAGTCCAGGTCGCTGGTCGACATCATGCTGTCGCAGCGCTTCGATGAAGACTCGCCATCACTGCCGTGGTCCTCACCGCTGGACGTGGAGGCGGGTCGCTCGTTATTTAGAGGCATCTTGGGTTACAGCTGCACATGAGAAGTTGGTTAGAGCCCTTAGCTTGTTGACTTCAGCAGTGTTCTCTAACTCAAGTCACAAGTTTTTGGGGGAATTTTACTAATTTAATAAGAAACAGGTTTAGAATTTAAGTGGGAGGTTTATCGTTCCTCCTTTGTTTGGATGCTGTTGTTATTTATAGTTCTTAACAGGAACTGCACAAACAGTGAAAAGATCTCTGACATTTGACATCTGGTCATATTCTGTATTTATAGAATTAGCAAGTCCCACAAAAAGACCAAGACCAATAATGACTTAATCCTACTAACAATGACTGTCTGTGTTGCAAAAGCATGACATAACCTTTTTATTTCAGTGCCATAGTTGTCCAAAACACTATTAAAAACAACTAAATGTGCCACACTGTTGCACTGGGTGAACTTTTCCATGACTACAGATGCTGTAGTTCATTTTGAGCTGACTACTCACTTAAAAAAAAAATGTGTATAATTCCACAGATGAAAATAGTCCTTTTCTGCCGCTTACTCGTGGACGATCCATCATATCCCCATCCATGGGGAATTTACAGACCAATGCCTTGTAGTTTTTTTTTGTCTTCTCCTGAGATTTACCGACAATAACAAAACTTTAAGCTGACAAATACTTGAAAAATAATTTCTCAAACAAAGAGAAAAACCAAATCAAGTACGCTTTACCTTAGTGTTACCTGTGCTTGTGTGAGAGGGAGAAAGAGTGTGTGAGTGTCGGTGAGTGCGAAGAGCATTCATTTTCCACTTTAGCAATAGTTGCTGTTGCCAGGCAGTTAAAGAGAGCGTAACAAAAACACCAGTCACACTCAATAAAACAGTTGGTGGGACAGTCTCCATGGAAACAGCGATAGCTGACCTGCAGTACAGTACTGAATTTGTTCAGTATTGTATTAATATTGAAGTAATTCACTGGAAAATATTTGATGATTCGGTGTGTTTACCGCCACAGGGGTTGACAACATTATCCAAACACAACCCGTTTCTCTAACCAGGTTTAAACAATAGCTTGTATTGGTTGAGGATAAAAGGAACTCTGTGTGTCGAGGCCTGTCTGAGCTCTGTCTCCAGGGCAACATGGGACAACAGAGGGGCTTCTCAACCGTCAAAATGATCCGGTTACACCTGACCCTTGTGCTTGTCTGCCTTCTGCGCAGACAGAATTAGCATTATAAGGAAAGGTACTGTTTGTAGCAATAATCAGAGCAAATATGAGCAGAGCAAATGAAGAAATGCAAGCTTTAAGAACTGTGGAACACATACAAACACCTTTAATTAGGTAGGCCTCTGCCGTTTTAATATTATCTAAGACGTACCGTACAGTCAGGGTGACCCTTGGGTGTTCCTGGCCCTGGTCTCAGTTATCTGCTGCCAAAAACGAACGCACACTCCCATCGCTGCTCTACTGGTTTAAAGATAGCTCAAGGGGTGAGAGTGGGTGACTTCCACGTACCCCTGCTCACTCATTACATCATCTGCTCGACTTGACAGCTAGGTCACAGCATTGCAGCAGGCCAATTTTTTTTAGAGATTATCTAGAGTGAGGGCTGTGGGGGGGGGGGCAGTACAGTACAGTCCAGAAAACTGATTACGGATTAGGTCTACTTTGTCATCTGCTGCTTCACTTTGAGAAATCCTCTTCAAGTGGTCTAAAATGTTAGGTAAAATGAAATCCAGAAGGAAAAAGAAAGAATTTGACGTGTTTAAAGAGCGGGCTTCTGAAGTCTGTTCTGGAATATATTGCAGGTTGTGAAATACAGCACGATAACAATATGATATCTGCATGAATACCCTTATATAACCCCTCCAGATGTTTAGGTTGAATGTCACATGAGCAAATATAGTAAATGTCTTTCTTTATGCAGGTCTTCTGCTACATATAGTGACTCCTGAAGAAACAAAGACAACCATCTGGGAGCCCGAATTCACTGCAGTACAATGTAAACAAAGCAGTGGATCAGGGAGGCGGGGCCAACCACACGGGGACTCTCCTCATTGGCTGCAGCCCCCTGTCCCTCATCCCTACATGGAAAATGTCTGGTTACATTGCGATGCACATGGATAAAAAAAAAAAACAACATCCACACACGCGTAAGCAGTGGGTAACACGTGATCACAGCAGCAGACCAAAACAACAACTCCGTGCACATTTTAAAAGAGTCCATTTTTTTATTCTTGTGGGCCAACAAAATGCGCAGTAGGACTAAATGTTAAACGCTCTTACTGCAGGAAGACATTTGTTAAAGATGTCGTGCTCGGTGTCAGCGGCGTCTACACGGCAGTCTTTTTGTTATTTAACCAACCGAATAGTGTTAGTGAAATGGGTTAATCACGCATAGCAGCTCGCTGGTTGAACCCTTCGACGACTGCACCGAAGTTTCCGCTCCACCACAAAGCCAAACTCAGACGTAAAAGTTGTCAACAAAACGAGCCGAGAGATTTATAATTTCAACAACAACAACAAAAGGCGACTTTTACCTCATTCGAGTCTCCGGAAAGGGAGACTGACACCAAAAATTATTATTTTTTTAGCCCTCAAAGGAAAGGATCCGTCGTCGTGCGGCGGCAATGTTTGTCTCTGTGTTTAAAGGTCTTGCGTTACCCAGCTGGCTCAGAGGACAAACAGGCGAAACCATTTCACACACAGGGGTGTTCAAAAGGTCGAGCAATGGCGAACACGGGGTTTAAGATTAAGATTCAGGTGTTTAGATTATAATGTAAGTTTTAAACTGGTAAATGTTAAACTAAAGGTGTACATTTAGTATGGGGGAGGAGATGTAACCCGATATTCTACCTTGAATCCACCCTTGGTTCAAATGGTACGCTCCGAACACTGTGTATTATTAAGGGTATTATGAGGACAAGGTAAATTATTTCATTTTTGGGTCAAGACTTAACTTAATAATAATAATACCAATAATACAAAATACTATTAAATAGGATACATGTAATTGAAAAACGAAAAATAATGTTAAAAATATGTGTTTAAACAGGTCTCTTAGACCCCTACAAGTAAGCTACAAGTAGCTATGGTTTGGCCAATGGGCCTTTTTCACAGCAGACATTTTGACTTAAGGTTGGCTCTGTTTCATTCATGTTTCCCAGTACGACGGTGTATGTACAATACCAGGACCAGGAAATGGTGATTAATGTGAGTCAATGCAATGTTTTTTCAAGTGACAAAAACACAAATATGTGCGAATGTTAACACAGTTAAAATCTACATAGAAATGAACTAGTGTGTAAGATACAGTATTGACCTAATGACAAACAAAGATTTGTGGCTGCATGGTGTCATATAGTTATATTTAGCTAGTTACATATATATTAGTCATAAGTGTTGAGATGTTTGTCTGAAATTGGTAATGTTTCAACACTTTGAACTGCGAAAACATTCCATCTTGTCCATTGCTTTAGAGCAGCAGCATGGAAAAGTATGTAAAAAGGGATTAAAATGATTTAATTATATGATAAATGTCAAAAAGAGTGTTTGCGGAAAATAATCAGTAAACAAATCAAATAATCAAAGATCACACATTTCTTCTGCTGTGCCCTTTTATAATGCGTCACTATAATAAGAAAACAGTCATAGCTGGGAGAATGTCATTACATAAATAATTTTACAAGTGGGTCACTGTGGCCTGGCTTCAGGAGAAATCATGAGAAAACAAACAAATGGTTATGTGTGGCAGATGGAGTCACTGCAGGACTCTAATCAACAACTGTATAATCATTCTTTTGTGTGTTTAAAAGATAATATTAAAAAATAAAGAAACATTATTTAGAAGATATATTTTGTTTAAAAAAAACTATGAACAACTTATTGAGAAAAGCAAATTATGGAGCACAGTTTTCATAAGTTATCAATATAATTTCCACTTTAGTAGTTTAGTAGTTTTAGTTTTAGTTTTTTAGTTTTAGTCAAGTTTAATTTTCTGCTTATATTTTGCACTCCATGTCCTACTTGTACAATGCATAGTGTATATTTAATTGTATATCTTCTATATGCTTCAATAGATAGATAGTTAGATTAGACTAGATAACCTAGAGTAGACTAGATATTCCTTTATTTGTCCCAACAATGGAGGGAAATCTGCCGAACACTATATTCACGGTGGACCCGGACCTCGCAAGGTATTGAGTAATAGCTGCGCTGTCTCACTTGTGAGTATTCTCTTGTGTTCTTCGTCTCTTTGTGACAGCTTAGCTTTGCGCCTGATTGCTGCTGTGTCAACCTAAATTTCTCCTAAGGGTGATAAATAAAGGAATATATTATCTTATTTTATCTTAAATTAAATTTTAAAAAAAGGGGGTCGCAGTACCTGGCATCGCCTGTAGGGGGCAGTCACGTGTTGTCTGCCGGTTACGTTTAGAGGAAGAAGATGTTTACGTCAGACGCAGAGTTCCCGATGGCGCTTGATTTGACTCCTCGGTTCAGAAGGTTGAACAGCCAAACGAGAAGTTTTCGTGAAAATATACAACATGGTAAGATCTGAGTATTAATGCTTAATACGTCTTAAGTTAGCTAACACCCTCCCCGTTTGTAAAAATAAATAAATAAAGTAAATAATGTTACGTAAACTACCATTACCGTGTTAGTTGTTGATTGTATTTTGATAGCGGACGGTGTTGAGAATCGTGACCTGAGAAGAATTAGCGATACAAAGTTGTAAAAACACTCCTTTACAAGTAAAAATCCGTCTTTAAAAACGTTTTTAAAAGTACGTGAAGATTTAACATTAAGTGGGGGGGAAA